GGGGGGGGGGGGGAGAAGTGGGTGTGTGGGAGATGTGAAGAAGAAGAAGAAGAAGAAGAAAAAAAGGGCGTGGGTTAGGGTTGGGGGAGTAAGAGAAGAGATGGGAAAGTGAGGGGGGGTGATTGTTTAATTTNCGCGACCGCGATGAAGGAGGGGGGGGGGGCAAAACAGAATACTTGCGTTTCACCGCGGTCGCGGTGGATAGATCACTCCAAAACAGAATGCTCGTCATTTACCGCGGTCACGAGTTTTTTTTATATATGAGAGTGTTAGTTTCCTACACATCTGGTACAACATCAAACAAAAGAAAAAGAAACAAAAGAAAACATGGGTTGCCTCCCACGCAGCGCCTGATTTAACGTCGTGGCACGACGCAGGCTCATATCATCACTCCTCATTTGTGTACTGGGGATCTTCCAAAGTTATCACCACGCTGTCCCCTTTTTCTTCAGTCATTCCAAGGTAATGTTTCAACCTCTGTCCATTCACTGTGAACTTGTTCGTCCTATCTTCAGATTCGATCTCTCAAGCTCCACTTGATAACATTTGAACCACTCTGAACGGTCCTGACCATCGGGACTTTAACTTACCCGGGAACAACCTCAATCTTGAGTTATATAGCAGCAATAACTCTCTGGGTTTGAAGTTCCAATCCAAGATGTGCTTGTCATGCATCAATTTCATCCTTTCTTTATATAGTCTAGCACTCTCGAATGCCTGGAATCGGAATTCCTCAAGCTCATGCAACCCATTGACTCTGTTGGTGCCCGCTATCTCCATGTCTAAGTTCAGCTGCCGCAATGCCCACAATGCTTTGTGTTCTAGCTCAATTGGAAGGTGGCATGCCTTTCCAAATACCAACTTGTATGGTGACATACCAATTGGAATTTTGAAGGTTGTGCGGTATGCCCACAATGCATCATCCAGCTTCCTTGCCCAATCAATTCTTGTTGCATTCACTGTTTTTTAGAGGACACTTTTGATTTCCCTATTGGACACTTCTACCTGCCCGCTTGTTTGTGGGTGGTAGGGTGAAGCTACCTTGTGGTGAACTCCATACTTCTCCAAAAAGCGTGCAAACGCTCTATTGCAAAAATGAGAGCCACCATCACTGATTATGGCTCAGGGGGTACTAAAACGTGTGAAGGTGTTTTTCTTGAGGAAACCGGTCACCCTTTCGCATCATTGGTTGGGAGAGCAACTACTTCGACCCACTTGGAGACATAGTCAACGGCAACCAGTATATACTTGTTACCGTACGAGCTGACAAAAGGCCCCATGAAGTCAATCCCCCACATGTCAAACACTTCCACCTCTTGGATTATGGTCATTGGCATCTCATGACGACGGGATATGTTGCCCGTCCTTTGACATTCATCACAGCTTTTGACCCAAGCATGGCATCCTTGAACAATGTAGGCCAATACAGGCCTGATTCTAGCACCTTTGCTGCTGTCCGAATTCCTCCAAAGTGTCCACCATAAAGTGAAGCATGGCAAGCCTGCAAAATAGAGGTTTGATCTTGCTCGGGGATACACCGCTAGATCATGTTATCAACACATATTTTAAGCAATAAGGGTTCATCCCAATAATATGCACGATAATCACGAAAAACTTTCTTCTTCTGAATTGAGGAGAGATCATGAGGTACAATACCACTTGCTAAATAATTAGCAATATCAGCATACCATGGTTCCTCCTCCATTGTCATCGCAAGTAATTGCTCATCCGGGAATGTCTCATTGATATCTTCAACCTCTATTCTCTTCTCTTCCCCTTCCAACCTCGAGAGGTGGTTTGCTACTTGATTGTCTGTCCCTTTTCGATCATGAATCTCCAGGTCGAATTCTTGTAGCAACAAAACCCAGCATCAAGCGGGGCTTTGACTCCTTCTTTGCTATCAAGTACCTAATGGCTGCATGATCAGTATAAACAATAACTTTCAAACCAATAAGATATGACCTGAATTTGTCAAAGGCAAACACTACAGCGAGCATTTCCTTTTCTGTGACAGTGTAGTTCAGTTGTGCACCACTAAGCGTCCTGCTTGCATAGTAAATTGGGTGGATAATTTTCTCCTTGCGTTGCACCAAAACCGCTCCTATAGCCTAATCACTAGCGTCGCACATCAGTTTGAATGGTTGCTCCCAGTTAGGTGCAACAATGATGGGTGCAGTCACCAATCTGTTCTTCAGCTCCTCAAATGCTAGCCTGCAATCATTAGAAAACACAAAGTGCTGGTCTTTTTCAAGCAGCTTACATAAGGGGTTAGCAATTTTTGAAAAATCCTTCATGAACCGCTTGTAGAACCCGGCGTGCCCAAGGAAGCTTCTCACTTCTTTCACTAAAGTGGGTGCTGGGAGCTTCTCAATCACCTCAATTTTTGCATGGTCTACTTCAATTCCCTTTTTGGACACTCTATGTCCCAACACTATGCCTTCTTGCACCATAAAATGGCACTTCTCCCAGTTCAGCACCAAATTTATCTCCACGCATCGTTTGAGCACTCTCTTAAGGTTGTGAAGACAATCTTCGAATGAATCCCCTACCACGGACAAATCATCCATAAACACCTCCATAATGTCTTCGACCTTGTCGGTGAAGATGGCTAGCATACACCGCTGGAATGTGGCCGGTGCGTTGCAATGTCCAAAGGGCATCCTCTGAAAAGCAAAGATGCTATACGGACATGTGAAGGACGTTTTCTCTCTATCTTCCGGGGCAATTGAGATCTGATTGTACCCCAAGTATCCTTCCAAGAAACAAAAATGGGACCGCCCAGCTAACCTGTCTAACATCTAGTCAATGAAGGGTAAGGGGAAATGGTCCTTTCGAGTAGCTACGTTTAATTTCATGTAATCCATGCAAATCCACCACCCTGTGACTGTACGAGTTGAGATCAACTCGTTCTTCTCATTTGCACAACCGTCATTCCACCCTTTTCGGTACACACTGGACGGGCTTACCCAATTGCTGTCAGAGATGGGAAAGATGATGCCCGCGTCCAGCCACTTGATTACCTCCTTTTTCACTACCTCCTTCATATTCGGGTTCAGCCTTCGTTGATGTTCCCTAGAAGGTTTATGCCCTTCTTCCAGACAATTCTTGTGCATGCAGAAGGCCGGGCTGATACCCTTTATGTCTGCCATGGTCTAACCAATGGCAGTTTTGCATTCCTGCAACACCTGCAGTAATTTTTCTACCTGCACAGCTAACAAACCAGATGATATAATAACAGGCAACGTAGAATTGGGACGCAAGAAAGCGTACCTGAGGTGGGCTGGAAGCGGCTTCAGCTTCAGGTGTGGCGGTTCCTCTATTGATGGTTTTGCAGGTGGTGTAGTTCTCTTTTCTAACTCAAGGGACTCGAACTGAGGTTCCCTCTTCCAAAATCCTTGGCCTTCGATTTCCATTACCCACTCTGCCAACCCTTCACCATCCATCTCGTCCAAATTTGTCAAGCAAGCTCCCACTGGATCATTAGCGTTGAGGATCTTATCATCTTCATGCATGATCACATCCACAGCTTCCACTAATGAGCAATTTGCATATTCACTAGGTCTCCTCATGGATTGTTGAACGTTGAATATAACTTCTTTATCGTTCAACCTCATTTTTAACTCCCCAGTTTCACAATCAATCAATGCTCTCCTAGTGGCTAAGAATGGCCTCCCCAGAATAATGGGTATCTCTTCATCTACCTGGTAGTCCAGAATAACAAAGTCTGCAGGGAATACAAACTTCCCCACTTGTACCAGCACATCATCAAGAATCCCCATCAGCCTTTTAACCGTGCGGTCAGCCAGCTGCAATAGCATCGAAGTCGGTCTAGCTCTACCAATGCCCAGTTTTGTGTATATTTCCAAAGGAATCAAGTTAATGCTGGCTCCTAAGTCACACAATGCTTTTTCAAAAGCATAACTCCCAATAGTACATGGAATAGTGAAGCTACCTGGATCAGACATCTTTTGAGCCATGGGTCTTGTCACTACTGTACTGCAGGTATGTGTTGGAGTTACTGTGGATAGGTCCTGAAAATCAAATTTTCGTGACATTAGGTGCTTCATCACCTTTGCATAGCCTGGAATTTCCCTAAAAGCATCCATCAGAGGAATATTTGATTGAATTTGATGAAGCATCTCCATGAATTTCAGATATGTTGACAATCATACGGCCATAGAGGTTCCGGTATAAGTTAAAAGAAAGAATTGTGTCCAGGTCATAGACAAAGGGTTGAATTGTTTAAAGATTGTATCACGGATATTCCGTAACGTCGATGAAAGGCTAAAGTAATAACTAATATCATGAGCCACAGATCAGAAGATTAGCTTAAGCCTACATAAAGGCTGATCAGAGGGAAGAGGAAACTAAACAATTGCATCAACTAAGTGAACCAAGAGTTTGATTATTGGACCTAGAAAATAATAGAAATCGTGATTGATAACATTGCAGAATTACTCTTAATATCAGAGGTACAAGAGAGATAGTACAACAATCATATTCTATAACGGGTCTACGATAAAGCCAGTTAGAAGAAGTACCGGCCTCATAAGAAGTCAGTATAAAGCTTCCACCGGATTGTGTATGCACCAGAGGTGCAAGTATTGTAATAGAGCTTCTTGTTGTGGATATGAAGTATACCTATGTGGAATGGAGGTTTGATCACGCCCAACTATGCCTTATAAAAGACAAAGCGATCGTTGCAAATATAATCCGGGTTTTCAAGTCGGGAGTCGAATCCTCAGGGAACTAACCTATCTATTACAACTATTTGTGATGTTAATACAAGTTCAACCAATTTCCAGATGCAAGATTTTTTATCAATAAACAGGGAGATTTATTTAACTAATGTAAAAGGATATTAAAACTAACAATATTCTAAATTAAAGATAATTCGATGGTAAAAAGATCTAGGGTATTGATTTCCCCAGTTGCTAGCTTAATTCTGAACTCTTTTGCTATAGTCTCGCCGTGATACTCTATGAGGATTATGAGCTATGGGTTACCGCAATTATCTCTCGATCAACTATAATAATTTACTAGAGCATACTCTCGAACTGCTCTAGCTGATAATTTATGCAGCTCGGAATCATCCCACCAAAATTTCGTTATCTCTAACCCCACTTTTAAATTCAAGTAATGAATCTCTTCAATTACCCGAAAGTGGTATTGTTCAACAACAATCTAAACTAGTATTCTTTCTCAAGCAACACAAGGCAATTAGACACGATTAATCAAAGCATTGTTGAACAATCATATAATAAACCCAGCTCGATTACAACAAAATTGAGTCAAAACTTCATCTAACAATTGGTTCCATCAACAGTAGATTAAACGTTTAGCTACTCATAGTAAAGCAAGATGAAACCATAAAATCATTCATTGTTCGCAAATAATGATAACAAGAAGAAGATTGAAAAACTCTAATGGTGTCTTGATCTTCTCACACTTGTTCTTGCCTCCATTTTAGTCTAAAAACCAGCTTAACCTTGACTTGGGCGAGTTTGTTGAGTTTATATAGGGTTAGTATAAGTTTCCCACGATTTACACTTTGGCCCTTAAACTTCTTGGCTGTCTCCAGATCAACCGCGATCGCGGCACGACCGCGGTGGTTTGCAAACATTCTGTTTTTCGCCTTCTTTCACCGCGTTCTAGCCGCGGTCTCGGTGAGCTGTTGCACAGTTTTTCTTCACCTTTTCTTGCTCGTTTTCATCCGGGCTCTTCTCGATTGTCCTCGTATCAACATATTTGACCCCAAAACACTTTATATTCTCCTCCTAACTCAGAGTAGTTCTTGAAAAGCATAAAAACCTCAATTAGAGCATTTGTTATCGTTTAGCACTTAAAACATCAATGAATTATGGTTAACTTAGAGCTTAAATAGCAACTATATCGTATAATATAGTCTACTATCAAGGTCATGAAAAAGATAGAAGATGTGATGCGAGATTTTAAGGTAAGTAAGATAAAGGTGAACAACGTACAAGATACTCAGGGGCAGAAGGTTGTGAATAATCTATACTTCATATAGAGGGCGAGAAGCGCTGGATTTAGTATCCAGGAATCATAGCGGCATCGTCAGTGGCATATCTTCCAGCCTATGATTTCTAGGTACCAAGAGGTCTAGTTAAGAGAGTAAAGAAGAGTTAGAGACGATGTGATGTCTCGCTTGATGTTCCATAATAACATGAGGAAATCTATGGTGCAAGCAAGTTGAAGGAAGGATGCGAGTAATATAGATAGACATGTGTAGGTCGCAAGCTAAAGTATGGTAGAGCGACAAGGTTTTAGAAAGATAGGAGTAAGGATAAGAAAAGGCGAGTGAGAAGGTAACGAGAATGAATAAGCCCTCAGGATTAAGCCCATGTAAACAAGAGAGCTGATGGTTTCACTAGGTTATAGAAAACTCAGTATAGACTGAATGAACTCAAAGGAGTCTAAGATTAATAGAATTTAGAAGAGATGAAATGCTGCCCTGGTAGTAGAATAAGGATGTAATTGTGATAGATAGATAATGACGTTAGGGCCTTCGATTGAGTAATAATTTGAAGAGGAAAAAAAGGATTTCACAAATGGCACGGGATTAGAATAAACCCCCCCCCCCCCTTAGGATGAATCACGTCAGGATGCTATGAAATATGATGATTGAAGTATAGTATCGCCCCTAGGTGGATTAGGCAAGTCACTTCAGATATTCCCCGATGAGACGTAAGCCCTAATTTCAATGTATTACGCAAGAGGTTTCAAGTTATTAGTGGTAGATTGTAGATCAACATTGAGGTAAATCAATAATGGATGGATAGAAGTTACAAAGTATGAGATGAGATTAGGCCATCATTCTTAAGATAAATAGTACTGAAGAAGCATTAAAGGACATAGATTTATACATATAGGATAAGCAACGAGACTAACCTGGAGTTTGGTCGCAGACCTCAGTAACGATGAATCGACGAAGAGTTATGGTATAGTATGACCTACCTTGATGTGGTAAAGTCATATGGATAGATAACCGGATCTACGAAATAGGAGATAGCAATGTTAGTAAGTTCAACAAAGTACCGAGCTAAGAACTTCAGTACACCTATAGGTTCCCAGAGGGACAACTTGTCATAGTTATGCATATGTTCACAAAGTGAGGTCTAGAGATTGGCTAAATGCTGGAGGGAAGAGTCGCATAGGCACACATACAAGGAAAAAGTCATACAGGCTGCATGACAGAAGGTAACAACAGTTACGAGGTTGGAAGAATTCCGACCACAGGCCGTGGTGTGAGAAAGAGGCCTAAAGGTGGGAATGGCCTGAACTTTGGATTTATTCACAGAACAGTTGCATAGATGGCAAGGAAAGTAGTTGTTTACCGTGAAAATGGTAATAACAATTAAATTTGATTATGGGACTCTAAAAATACATGATCTATTTTTATGCTAGTTGTTACGCAGTTGATGCTATGTATGTGAGGCTTAGAAACGAAATAAGAATAAGGATAGGGTGACAACCAAACTGATAGATTAACAATCGGGGCCTCGAACTTGTCGATTTGGAGGACTCGAGGTCAATTCCAGAGCTCGACAGTGAGTTATCGAAGGTCGTCGAAGTACGACTAACAGTTACAATAAAATCAACGAAGGCTCTTTATGGCCAATGATAAACAATAAATAACAAACAATAACGAAGATAATAAATGGAAGCAATAATATCAAGATAATATATTAGATAGCAGAGAGAATATTCTTGTATATTTCGTGTGGAGAAATTGAAGCAACCGGCCTTCACAAAGTGACAAGGATCCCCTTTATATAGGAGAGGAAACCCAACATAGTACAAAATACATTAATGACAAAGAAGCGCAGATGGGACAGCTAGATATGACACCCTGATTCAGGGTTAGGGTAATCCACTAGGCTTTATCAGTCCTAGCCGTGTACCTTGGGAACTCACCTTGTTTCCAATATAGCCGCTCGGTTGCATAGCTTCGAGTCGAGCATCGACAACCCTCGAAGGTGAATCTCGACCCCAGTCTCGAGCCTTTGGGAAGTATGTTTGTGGGTCATCATAATGACGGGGAAATCGGACCCCCCGATTTTACCGTGCACAGATAGTCTCCGCATTTCTTAGATTGCAAGTGATAAAAAACGACCTTGAATTTTTTCTCTCTCTGAGACTTTTGTAATGACGACAGTCTTAAGGTGTCAAAAGACGATGCACGCGCAGCCCCTGAAGGTCCTCGCATTGATTGTGGCAGTTAGCTGTCTCTTGGCCTCCTTCAATGTGCACACGGGGCTTCTACAAATACTCCCCTTCTCGTTCTTTACAACTCACTACATTTCCAACCCCTAGAAAGGGTTCGTTCTGCCTTTACTTCCGTTCTTTCTTAGGAATGCAACTCCCTTTTTTCTTCCAGAATTTTCTAGGAATGGCAGAGACTTCCGCCTCTGCTTCTCAAGAGAATGTGGCCTCATCCACTTCACTTTATCTCAAGGTGAAGTGGGCATACCTCCTCGTGCTGAGGAATATGTCCCAGGATTTTTTGCGATGGCTTCTGATTTCAAGGTCGAGAGGCCTTCTTCGAAGCCGGGGCATCGTGAACCTGTGACTCAGTATATTAGCTGGATAACAGACGTCGGAAGAGTGAGAGCTGATTGTCGCTAGGGGGACGCTGTGCTTGTGGAGATCCCTGCTTGGGAGGAAGATATTACGACATACAAAGCCAATTTTCTTAGTGTGTATACTTACCCGTTTACCTTAGGGCCGGTGGGGCCGTCTTCGCCCCCGATCGATCCCGTAATTTTCGACTTCTGCCAACGGATCAAGTGACCCTTGGCAAAATTCATCCTTCATTCTGGCGTGTCGTTTATATGATCAGGCACTACGTGAACAAGATCGAGGAGATGCCCTTCACCCTCGATCATCTGATCAGGATGTACAGCCCCCGTCTATTTTGTGGGGGTCTAATCAAGCTCCGCAGCCGAGCCCCAAG